TCTTTAGTGGGGAAACTCTGGAGTGCCTTGCCTCCTCATAGACATTCAGGAGAAATCCTGTAGGTTCAGCCAACACACCTGCTGAGCTGCCTCATTGTAAAGGTGATACTGTGACATTGCTTTCCATTTCAATTTGTTCTCTTTCCCTTTCTTCACCTAGCTGCTCTGGGCTTGTATCTTGCAAATAAAGTGCCAGCCTTTCATCTTTTTTTTTTAGGCTTTGCTTTCTACAAGGCCCAGTCCAAAAGAGTGGTCAAATAAGATTAGGAATCATACATACTTTACCCTGCTCCTCACCTAGAGGGCGGATTGCAATGCCCGTAAGCACGTCAAAGGCCCTGAGAAGTTCTGCAGTGGAAAAGAACTCAAACACGTGTTTAACTTATAAGGTAATATTTACTGGACACTTACTCGATGACAAACAGGATTCTAAGAACTTTACTTATATTAATTTGTTAATGTTCCTACTGCAACCCTCTGAGGTAGGAATCATTATCCCATTTCACAAACAGGGAAACTGAGGCACGGAGCTGTTAAGTAACTTGTCTGAGGTAATACAGTTAACAAGTAGAGAAGCCTGGGTTCTAATCCAGGAAGGCGGGCTCCAGAGTGAGTGCACATAATCACCATGCTATATACATGCTTTGCTTGATCTCAAAACTGCCCTTAGTTTTTGCTGTTGGATTGTTTTTAATCGGATCACCTGTTATCATCAACTGAACTGGTTCTACTGAAAACAGTTTGCTGTTTACAGTAGAAGTTTATCTTGATTTCCTGCAGAGATGTCGTGCAACCAGCAATGATCTTTCTGCCCTTATCTGCTCAGAGGCCTAGCCCAACCCCCTGATTAGCGCACAACTTTGCACTACAATAAACACTTTGAGGAAGGGAAGGAAGGAACAAAGGAAGGAAAGGTTGTCCTTATAAAAAGACCAGGGCCCCTGTCTTAAGAGAAGAAACCCTGGGTAGAAATTCAGTGGCATTTTCAATTTCTGGTTATGGCCCAGCCATCAAGCTGAAAGTGAGAGCCTTCTTCTAGTACATGCATGGCCATCCATTGCTCTACTTCTTTGTGGCTTCTAAACATGGGCATTGCCAAGAAGAAAACTAGGAAAGTCTGCTGTGATGATGAGGCATGATCCCCTGGTTTCTGGGAGTGAAGCTGCCAGGTACAGTTGCATAGGTTGTATACTGCACAACTGTAGGGGGTACTGTTCACATAATTTTCATTGAACAGTTGCCCTGCATGAGAACTACACTGTATGGCAATTGCAATGCTGAGGTTTGGGTGGGGTGGAGTGAGGGTAATTGCAGGACTAAAATCATTACAAACACAATCTGTCTTATCTGAGTGGCTCAGGGTGTAGTCCGTGCCGTATCACAAAGCACCAGGAAGTTCTGACACTGGCGCCTGGAAACTTGCCCTGTCTGAGGCGAGGCCTGGGTTCCAGCGGGAGTGTCTGAGTGGCATCTCGCTGACCACATGGCATGGGGCACTCACTTCCTCTAGCATTATGTGGAGCTCTGACTTGCCTCTATGGACATTTGGGGCCAGATCATCTTCTGTTGTAGGGGTCTGTCTCATGCATTGTAAGATGTTTAGCAGCATCCCTGGTCTCTACCCACAAGATGCCAGTAGCACCCCTCATCCCAAGCTGTGCAACCAAAACTATCCCTAAACATTGCCAAATATCCCTGGGAGGAGCCAAATCACCTGGGGTTGAGAAACAGTACTGTAGAGGTTAGCTCAGTGTTCTCTCATGCAGTCACCACTAGCCACATGCAACTTTTTATGTTTTTTTTGAGACAGAGTCTCGCTCTGTCCCCCAGGCTGGAATGCAGTGGTGCGATCTCGGCTCACTACAACAACTACCTCCCGGGTTCAAGTGATTCTCCTGCCTCAGCCTCCTGAGTAACTGGGATTACAGGCGCCCGCCACCATGCCTGGTAAATGTTTGTATTTTTCCATAGAGACAGGGTTTCACCATGTTTCACCATGTTGGCTAGGCTAGTCTCGAACTCCTGACTTCAGGTGATCTGTCCATCTCCCAAAGTGCTGGGATTACAGGCCTGAGCCACCACTCCTGGCCCACATGCAATTTTTGAGCACTTGAAATGTGTCTGGTCCAAACTGAGATGTACTCTAAGTGTAAATTATACACCAGGTTTCAAAGAGCTAGTACAAAAAAATGTAAAAGATCTCAATGATAATTTTTAAACATTGATTACATGTCAAAATGAGAATATTCAGGATACATTGTGCTAATTAAAATATGTTACTTCAACTGTTTCTTTTTAAAACTTTTTAAAATGTGGCCCCTAGAAGGCCAAACATTACATGCGTTCCTTGCATTAGATCTCTACTGGACGGTGCTGAGTTAGCTCGCCTCCGCTTGTATTCAGTCCTCTAGGCAACATTGTGAAGTCAATTTCCGGGGGGCTGCCTCTGTCTTACCCTAACCTTTCCCCTCTCCAATTCCTAGAGAACCTTCTGCTGCATCTTGGCACTCTAAGTTGAGACTTTTATTTTTATTTTATTTACTTATTTATTTTTTTGAGACAGTGTTTCACTCTTACAGCCCAGGCTGGAGTACAGTGGCACGATCTTGGCTCACTACAACCTCCGCCTCCCAGGTTCAAGCAATTCTCCTGCCTCAGCCTCCCTTGTAGCTGGAATTACAGGCGTGTACCACCAAGCCTGGCTACTTTTTGTATTTTTACTAGAGACGGGGTTTCACCATGTTGGTGAGGCTGGTCTGGAACTCCTGATCTCAAGTGATCCGCCCGCCTGGGCCTCCCAAAGTGTTGGGATTGTAGTCGTGAGCCTCTGCGCCCAGCCCCTAAATTGAGATTTTTTCATGACCATCCTCAGACGATCTTTAAAAAGACGGTCTTTGAAAAGATGGTGTTTGAAACTTCACCCCATCAAAAGCATTAAGGAGGAAGGATTCAGTCAGCCTGCTCCTCCACACTGACTGGTCATGCCGTACCCCTGCCCCATAGGCATCTGCATTTTGTGCCCCCGGTCATGTGGTCCTGCTGTTTTTGCCACCCTAGGACCACTCTGTCAATTTCTCAACCACTGTTCCTGACTCTCCTGTCTTCCTTCTGCAAACTCCCAGACGCATTGCTCTGATCCTATTAACCCCTCTTTAACAACTTTCAATGGCTCCCTCATGACACCTGGAGGAGGAAGCCCTGATTCATTAGCTGGAGCTTCAAAGCCCATTGCAAACTGGCCACAATCCCCTCTTCGGGAGGCCATCATCGTCACAGGCTTTACTTCCTGTTCCAACCAAACGGGTACACTTCCTTGCACTGTTTGCCTCTTCCTCACTTGGCATCCTGCCCTCCTTATTTCTGCCCGTCAAAACCTATTTACCTGCTAGGTCCCTTTTAAATCCCTCTTCTTCCCAGAAGCCTTTAAGGTTTCCATAGTGACCTTTCTTATCTTTAGAACATGTCGGCACCAATTAATTGGAAACATTCATCCAATTGTCTCGAGGATACTTTGGTATCAAACCGATCTTAATAGACTGTACCACTCCTTAGATTTGCATCTTTGTTTAGTTAATTTTTTTTTAAGAGATAAGGTCTGAATCTGTTGCCCAGGCTGGAGTGCAGTGGAGTAACCATGGTACACTGTTGTCGAATTCCTGGGCTCAAGCAATCCTCCCTCCTTAACCTTCCAAGTAGCTGGGACTGTAGGTGTGAGCAACCATGCCGAGCTATTTTAAAAATATTTCTGTAGAGATGGGGCCTCACTGTGTTGTCCAGGCTGGCCTCAAACTCCTGGGCTCAAGTGATCCTCCCATTTCGGCCTCTTAAAGCTCTGGGATTGCAGGCCTGAGCCACCATACCTGGCTAATGTTTTTCATTTCTTTAGCTCTTCTTCGCTCTTCAAATGAGTGAAAGACTTCTGTGTGTTTTAGATCTTCTGTAAACACTGCTTATTAAGTTTGTAAAGTACTTGTCTTATGTGAATATACTCACTGGAATAACTAGAGAGCATATTGTAAAGTGAGGGATCATCCTCCCACATTGGAGAGAGATGCTGATCGTATTTAAGCTTCTTGCTATTCCCTAAAACCTCCACACTGGACATGCCACATCTGTGGATTCAGAAATATTTCTTAGTTAGTTTAATGGGGAATGGGGTCCCCATTCAGAAGAACAAATCAAATGGGAGTTGGTTCTGGTAGAAACAGCTGTCTACTGTAACTATGCATGGCCGAGCCCAGCCCAAATGTCCTTCCCTCCGCTGGTGGGGGCCTTGTTGGCCATGGTGGCCCCCAGTCTTTGGCAGCACATCTGAGGAACAATCTTCTTCACTGTCTTTTAGGTTAGTGATTTCCTACGAAGCGAAGTGGCTGTCCCCTCTTCTCCATCCACCTTGCCGCTCATTATTTGAACAGGCAAATGATGGCAATTAACCAGAATGGGGGCCTCATTTCTCTGCATCAAGTGGTGCCAGCCTCAGATGAGGAGTTGTAAACCTGATTCAAAGGAAGGGAGGATAGACAGCGTGCCCAGGAGGGTGGGCCTTCCAGAATCACACGCCCAACATCAAATAACAAATCAACCTGCCCTAAGCGGTTACTTCTCTCTATTTGCATTACAGAAAAGCCACCCTCAGTTTATTTGGCTGTGAATGGCCCTGCCTCCAGTCTTCCTGGCAACTTTGCCAAGCTGGGATCAGCCTTGTGCAGGGGACTGGTGCTTTGCTGTCAGAGTTACCTCTTCCCTTTTGCTTCTGTGCTTAGAGCAGGACAGGAGGAAGACAAAGGTCCTCCCAGGCCTTTTTAAGGGACCCGTCCAGCTTGGCCTAAGAGCAGGGATGAACCCAGAGGAAACTCTACCAAATGGCTCTGCTTACCAGGCTCTCGGTGGAATGGGGGCCCTGAGCCAGGTTCCTGCGTTTCCAGGGGCCTGTGCTCAGAGCAGCCAGTAGGTGTCTCCATCACACACTGTTCGAGGACTCGCACCAGAGCTGACTTAGAAAGGCCTTCAGCTCTTTCCCAGGCTGCTCAGGGAGGCTCTGAGGGTTCCTCAGGCACTGCCTTCTTGGGAGGAAGCAGGAAATGGCATTTTAGGGATTGCGAGAGGAACGAAGACTAGCAGGTAGGACCAAGTGTGAAGGGATGGAGGGAAGGGCGAGTGCAGGTTTGCACAGTGGAAGAGGGGCTGGAAGGTGGAACAGTTACTGCTGGGGAAAGGTGAGGAGAAGCGGGGAGAGACGAAAAGGCTGAGGGCAGGCAGGATTTACGGAGGAGTTCAGTGCACAGCCCCTGGAGGAAGGTCTGGGGCTGGGTTTGCACTGAAGTTCTGGCTCTTACTGGCTGTGGGGCTTTAGGAAAGTGATTCAGCCTCTCTGCGGCCACCCACTCATCTATAATTGAAGACCCTAATACCACATAGAGGTGTTGGGTTATTTAAGTGAGAGTCCACATGAATAGTGCCTGCCATCTAGTAAGCACTCAATACATCGCAGTTATTTCTTATTAATTCGACAAGATGTTCAGGAGAGGGTGGTGCAAATTTGTGTGGCTCCTGCCCCACTTGTCCACTCCTCAACCCCCTTAAAGAAGCAACTGGAGGCTGGGTGCGGTGGCTCACGCCTGTAATCCCAGCACTTTGGAAGGCTGAGGCAGGCAGATCACTTGAGGTCAAGAGTTCAAGACTAGCCTGGCCAACATGGTGAAAGCCTGTCTCTACTAAAAATACAAAAATTCGCTGGGCGTGGTGGCAGGTGCCTGTAATCCCAGCTACTCGGGAGGCTGAGGCAGGAAAACCTATTGAACCTGGGAAGCAGAGGTTGCGGTGAGCTGAGTTCTGCCACTTCACTCCAGCCTGGGAAACTAAACAGAGCGAGACTCTGTCTCAGGGGGAAAAAAAAAAAAAAAAAGAAGCAACTGGAAAACTTGGAAGCCAGATCTATTCAAACCAGCAGGACCTGTGGTGATGTTACCCAAGGGGTCCCTAAGGGACTGGCACAAGTCAGGGTGGAGCTATTGTTTTAGTGGCATCACAGAGGACAAGGGTGTCCCCAGCGATGGAAAGCAGCACATGACTGCTCAGCTTTGAAGAAGGAAATGGGAGCACACCAGCCTGTTAGCCAATGGCCAGCAGGCTTAGCCTTCCTTGAGAAGATGCTAGAATTGAACACCAACCGTCCGAGGGACACAGGGGTGATGTAGCTTAGGGACAAAGAGCAGGAGTTCTGCTATAGTAAGAGCCTCAGCTCTTTGTCCCTAAGTTAAATAAATACTAAGGCTATAATTGGTTATGTGGCTGTAGCACAAGTGACTTTAAACCCTATAGTGCCTATTACCCCCAATGAGGGTATTGTAAGGATCCAATGAATTAGTATGTGTGAAGGGCTAAGTAAATGAGGACTATTACTGTGAGACAGGAGGGAATAACCAAATGATGTTGTAAAGACCACATTGTCCCAGCCAAATGATTTATATTCATCTTCACTTAAGGGGAAAACGTGGAAAGTTGGGACTACAAGTGAATCTGACCATTTTGCTGAACCAAGACCCAGAGAAAAGAAAATTATCAAGGTCATAAGCTTATTAAGAGCAAAGGAGGGACCGGGTCTCCTGAGTTTAAATACTTTAATAAATTACTATTATTCTTCATCCCGATGTCAAGATAAAATCTATGACAGCATTTCTTCAAATGTTTCTCAAAAGAATAGTCATAGGTTCTTCTAGAAACAGGATCTGATGGATTATTACATTTGGAAAATGCTGAGTTAGAAAAAAAATCACATAAATTGTAGGACTTCTCAGAGTCTTCTTGTTTTTCTTTTCTTTTTCTTTTCCTTTTTTTTTTTTTTTTGAGAACAGTCTTGCTCTGTTGCCCAGATTGGAGTACAGTGACATGCTCTTGGCTCACTGCAACCTCCATCTCCCAAGTTCAAGTGATTTCTGGCTAATTTTTGTATTTTTAGTAGAGACAGGGTTTTACCATGTTGGCCAGGCTGGTCTTGAACTCTTGACTCAAGTGATCTGCCCACCTTGGCCTCCCAAAGTGCTAGGATTACAGGCATGAGCCACCACATTCGGCCTTCTCATAGACTTTAATATGTCTACACACATTGTGACTTTAAAAATTAATAGATTTTTAAGTTGCAGGACTTCTCAGAGCATTTAATATGTCTACACACATTGTGACTTTCCTAGACATGAGTATAGTGAAAAGCATTTCTCAAAGGAATAAACCATGCTACTCTTGTTTTCCTGGAACATCTCACGGGGCTAGTATTCAAGGAATATAGTTGGGATTACCAATACAGTTGTTCCTCAGTATTCATAGGGAATAGGTTCCAGGTCTCGCCATGGATACTAAAATATGCAGATGCTCAAGTCGCTTATATAAAATGATGTAGTATTTGCATGTAACCTACACACATTCTCCCATATACTTTAAATCATCTCTAGCGACATGATCTCAGCTCACTGCAACCTTGGGTTCCAGGGTTTAAGAGATTCTCCTGCCTCAGCCTCCTGAGTAGCTGGGATTACAGACATACGCCACCATGCCTGGCTAATTTTTGTATTTTTAGTAGAGATGGGGTTTTCCCATGTTGGTCAGGCTGGTCTCAAACTCCTGACCTTGTGATCCGCCCGCCTCGGCCTCCCAAAGTGCTGGGATTACAGGCGTGAGTCACTGCACCTGGCATATTGTTTAAAAAATTTGTTTTATTATTGTATTGTTATTTTGAATTTAAAAGATATTTTCAGTCTGTGGTTGGTTGAATCTGAGGATGCAGAACCTTAAGAATCAATCTAAAAGTTCTTATTACCTATAACAACTTTTGATTTCAGAATGTCTTTATGGCAGTCAAGTGCAAATAACTAGCTCTGGGAACATGCTATATTATCAGATCTGCTAATAAGCATGTCACAGTACAATCCATGCCACTTAGTCTATACTGATTAATGTATATATTTAACAAGCGGGATCCATACCGAATGACAGCATTTGTGTCTTTGTAGTAGGATTACGAATCATTTTTGTTTCCTTCTTATGCTTATCTGTACTTTGTGAATGTTCTACAATGAACATATGTGTCTAGAGCCCAAAAGAAAGCTCAGTCTTTATTGCATAATCAGTGGTGAGGCATCTACTTGAAAGAAAGCCACTCCTCTGGGGATTAACTGCTGGGGCCTATCTTACTAATGACTTAACAACAAAAGGATGGGGCTTGTGTCCATCAGATATTCACATGATACTAAATTTGGTGGGTTGGCTCACACTCAGAGAGCCAAGAATAAAATTTAAAACAACCACGACAAATTGAAAACATGGGCCTACAAAAACAAGATGAAATTCAATAGTGCAATTATAAGGTGATATATTTAGGGCTAAAAGCAGCCACCATATGTTTAGAATGAAGTCAGGACCAGCTTCCAGTCGGTCGGCAACAACCAGGTGAAACCCTACCAGGTAACTGACCTCGAGATGAGGCTTGGTGCCAGGCACAGGTTTAGGAAAAAAAAAAATAGACCTGGTAAGGATCAAAGTCCACGGGCCAGGGACACATGAGCAAGATGGTCCCCAGGATCCCACTTTCTGAATACAAAATCCTAGCGAAGGGGTCTGGCATGAGCTACAACTTCTGGTTTGCATAATGGAAGGATCTCTGAAATCAGAACAACTTTCCCATTCCAGGACTGCCATCGTGTGACCTCACCACATCAGGATGTCATCTGCCCCCTGCCAGGCTAGGGGAACATTTTGGTGTCACGTCCATGTGTTAGAGGCACTCTGGAGTCTGCAGTGGGGAAGCAGAAAAGTTAGAAGTTCTGGGACATTTTACTGGTTTATGGGGACAATCAAATAGAATATTTGAAATCCGAGCCATCTCTGAAGAGCTCGTTTTGGAAAATCCAGGGCATCTGGTCGCAGTCAAAAGAGCGCCTTGCCTTCTTCAAAGCTCCCTGGATTCCGCACACATAAAAGGCCCATGACATGCTGCGGCCCCCAAGTCATCCCCCGTCTCAAGTCTTGCATTAGTCAGCCCCTGATTAGGCTGCTGAGTCGAGTCTATGTCACTCCCTCCTAAAAGAGCTTGGAGAGGCTGGAGGATGTCCAGGCAGGAGACACAAAAATGATCAAAGAGCTGGAAACTGGGCCCTGTGAAGAAAGGTTAAAGGAATTGGAAGTGGTTTGCCTGAAAAAAGCAAGGAAGAGTCTGAAGCACCCAAATTCAGAGATGAACCACACAAACCTCGCGTTAGCCTCGGTTTTCCCGCCACTTGCAGCTTTCATCTGCAGGGTCAAACAGAAGCAAGAATCCATTGCTCACTTTGATCATGAACTTACGATGCTCCCAACTTTCTCAGTACTTGGCGTGGTTATCTCATTTCATGGTCAGGACAGTCCTATAACTTTCAGATGAAGAAGCGGAGGTCCAACGGAGAAGTTATGTAACTAGCTTGAGTTCATTCCACTAGGGAGCGATGGGTGCAGGCTAGGGTGCACCCCAGGGAGTGATGGGTGCTTCGGACTCCATCTCCATCTCCAACAGCAAGTGTTTTTCATGGGTGTCCTTTTTTTTTTTTTTTTGAGACAAGGTCTTAGAGTTTCATTCTGTCACCAAAGCTGGAGTGCAGTGGCGATCATGGCTCACTGCAGTCTTGAGCTCCTGGGCTCAAGTAATCCTCCTACCTAGGCCTCCCAAGCAGCTGAGAACACAGGTGCTTGCCACCACTCTTGGCTAATTTTTTAAAATTAATTTTTTGTAGAGTTGGGGTCTTGCTGGGTTGGCCAGACTAATCTCAAATTTCTGGCCTCAAACCATCCTCCTACTTCAGCCTCCCAAAGTGCTGGGATTACAGGCATGAGCTGCCATGCCCCGCCTACAAGTGTCCTTTAAAAACGCACCCTCGTCTCATGTGGTACAGCATGAAATTTGCAGATGATTGTTAACAACAAAAACTCCTTAAATGACTGAAGGCATTGAGCTGTCACCAGCTTCGGGTTCAGCAATGTGCCCTATACAATGTAATATCACCACTTCCCCTGTTACCTCAGGTGTTGTGGGCTCAATTGTGTGTCTCCTCCCCCACCCCCAAATTTATGTGTTAAAGTCCTAACCTCCAGTACTT